TCAGGCAATCCACTCACCTCAGCCTCCCAAAGCGCAGGATTACAGGCTGAGCCACTGAGCCCGGCTCCAAAGAGCTTATTTTAAAAAATTTTCTGTAGAGACAAGGTCTTACTGTGTTGCCCAGCTGGTCTTGAACTCCTGGGCTCAAGGAATCCTCCTACCTCAGCCTCCCAAAGTGCTGGTATTACTGTCACGAGCCACTGTTCCTGGCCAGACTTTATTTTTTTTTAGAGCAGTTTCATTTATTTTTATTCTAGATTCTGGAGTGCATGTGCAGGCTGGTGACAGGGTCTGGTGTGTGCTGAGGCCTGGACTGGTCTTGGGCCCATCGCCCCACGGTCGAACAGGTGCCCCGTGTAGGCCATGAGGGTGTCCCTGAGCCTTTGTTCCCTTGCCACGTCTGTGAGCACCCCATTTCTTCAGAGGAATTTTCGGTTTACAGAACAGTTGAGCAGCGAGCACAGTGAGGCCTCCTTGCCTCCCGTGCCCTCCAGTTTCCCTGCTGTGCCGGCGTGGCGTGGCACTCTCACTGCTGCCAGCAGTGTCCCTGGCAGGTTCCTCTGCCCGTGCCTGCTCTGTGGTCCAGAGGGATGCACTTGGCAGGCCCCCGCTGTGGCACCCGCCGAGACCGTCACCCTCTGTTTCTTGTCCTCTCTAGAGTTTAAAGAAACCCGTTATCCCCAGAGAGTTTGGGGGCAAAGTCCCCACCGTCATCCGCCAGCGGTACCTCAACCTCTTCCTGGACGAGTGCCTCAAGTTCTGTGCCTCCAACCAGGAGGCCACCGAGAAGGTGGGCCCTGCTCCGGGGGCGTGGGCCGCGGGGGGCGGGGCGTCCCGCCGTGGGGCCTGGGCTGAGTGTGGCGTGTCCCCAGGCTCTGAGCGAGGAGAAGGTGGCCTACGACCGCAGCCCCAGCAAGAACATCTACCTGAACGTGGCTGTGAACACCCTCAAGAAGCTGCGCGGCCTGGCGCCCAGCACCGTCCCCGGGCTCGGCAGTGAGTCCGCGGGCGGGACAGGGACCCCACGGGCGGCACAGCCTAGGCTGCCAGCGTGCCAGACAAAAGGCCCCGCAGGAGAGCGCGGCGCTGCAGGCCCGGGTGCCAGGCCTGTGCGCCTCGCACTAATGGAGTCACCTTGGCCTCTCGGTGGGGCGGGGCCGGCGTGCATTCAGCTCTGGGGAAGAAAGGGCCGGTCGAGGCGTTTCATTACCGCCTCTCAAGAGGCTGCATTAAGCCTTCCTGGGCCCCCATTAGCGCTCAAGGGCCTGGTGGGCAGCACAGGCGTCGGCCCTCAAGAGCCATTAACGCTGCTCATTCTCCCGCTGCTCCCCCTGCGCCCACGTGGGAGGGCTGGGGACCCGGGGTCCCGCATCCAGCACGGCCCACACAGTCATGGGACCCCGTGACCCCGTGGGTGAGGGCCTGAGCCGGCTAGCTCACCCTCCCCTCGCGTTCCCTTCCTCCTGTTCCTTTCCAGAATCCAGTGGCCAGAGGGTGGTGTCCCACGAGGTGGTGCTGGGCGGCAGGTTGGCCGCCAAGACCAGCTTCTCCCTCAGCCGCCCCAGCAGCACCCGAGTGGAGGATCTGAAAGGTGAGGCCGGCCCAGGGGCCCTTCCACAAAGCTGGGGGCCTCGGGGCGCCCCCGGTCGGGCCAGCCCACCTTTCCCAGGCAGGCGAAGGTGGAGTCGGTGTTCGGCGGCCACCGCTGACGCGCGCCCGTCCACTGGTCCGCAGGGGCCGCCCTCTACAGCCGCCTCCGGGAGTACCTGCTCACCCAGGAGCAGCTGAGGGAGAACGGCTACCCCTTCGCACACCCCGAGCGGCCCGGCGGCGCCGTCCTCTTCACGGCGGAGGAGAAGCGGCCCAAGGACCGTGAGTCCTGCGCGGCGGGGCGGGGCGGCAGGGGGTGGGCAGAAGGAGCGCCTGGGGCCGTGCGTGTGTCCTCAGGGAGCCTGCCCCTGCAGCTTCCTGCCGCGTCTGCTGCCGCTGCGGCTCCGAGTACCTGGTCTCCGCCTCCGGCCGCTGTGTCCGCGCTGAGGAATGCTACTACCACT